GGAGCACTGTCCTCTAAACCTTGACCAGTCCAGCTGCTGTTTTCATAACCAGCCCATTTGGTTTGGAAAACTCATCAAAGGAATAGATTTTTCAAAAAGGAGAAAAAAGATTGGTGCCAACCTGCTCAGTTTTCCCGATGTGGTTGGGCTTGTGTGTCCTTGGACAGGCACCTTCTGCATGATTCTGGGAGAAAAGTCAATGATTCGTATGACTGTGCTGAAATATCAATCAACCAAGGCAGACCAAATGGGTTTCATTTTACAAACTCCTAAAAAGTAACAGGATCCAGGTCTGCCTATGAATTATTAAGTAATGACATAAGTAATAATAAAAATTTACTGCAGTACTGCAAGGATAGCTGTGAAACAGCAGCTGTAGCATCTTATGTACACACTCCTAGGAGAAATGTGAGGCTGTAGCTGTAACTACAAGCTGAAATAACTCCCAAATATTTACCCATAGATCTATAGTAGCATTTCTTTAAAAGAATGTTGTGTTGTCCTCAATAGAGCATGGAATTGTTATTTCATTTCCCTAAACAGCTGCAGTTGCTGCTGATTTAGGAAGAATGGCTTGATTTCTTTGTATAATTAGTAATCTGTTCCTAGATTACTACATTTATACTTCATAGAATATGTACTTCCAAATCACTTTTTCCTTGGAAGATGCCAATGTATTGTATCTCTTTTAGCTGACTGTAACTGTGGTATCTGACCTTTTACTCTTCCAGGTCTCGCCCTCACTTATGAGGAATGAATGGTGTGTGATGCTGGTGCTGGCTGGGGTTTAATCACAATACAGATTTAGGACATAGCAGGAAAAAAATCAAATGTTTCAAGAAGCAGGTGCCAAGCAAAGCTCTTCATGCAGTGTGTTAAGTGTTCTAACAAACTTGAATCTACATTAATCCTCTCTAGCTTTCAAGTTCAAAAAAGCAAAGTCAATGTGAAATCACTTGAAATCAGGTTTTGAATATCCCTTTTTCACCACTGTAATTTTGCAGGTCATAGGCTTTAGCAAAGGAAATTGAATCCCATAAAGCATTAAAACAAAAAGAAGACAAAGAAAAGAATGTTAGTGAAACTATTAGGAAGTTGTGATAAGTATCAAATCAAAATTATTTATCTATCAGTCCTCAAAGACAGCAGGGAGGCAAAAAATTATAAAGACCCTCTGTCTTAGATATAGTGGTAGATTTAATTTAATTAGGAAGAGACATTCTCAGCTGGGCAGTAGGAATTAATGTCTGAGTACAAAGAGTCATGTTGGGGAACAGGTCTTTACATGAACGAGTAACTGAGGATTAGCCCATGACTCTGTGCACAGCAGAACATGTTAGAGATAAACAGAATAAACAACCTGGAAACCAGCACAGACCAATTATGGCTTCTTCTTTGGCAGTGGGGCAGAAAGACAGAGACTTTCTACAATCTGGGAATCATCAATACCACAGATTCCGACAAGGTTGGATATTAGGAAAAGTTTCTTCACTGAGAGGGTGGTTGAGCCCTGGAACAGGTGGCCCAGGGCAGTTCTGGAGTCCCCATCCCTGGAAGGATTTAAAAGTTGTGTATTTGTGGCACTTGGGGACAGGTTTAGTGTGCGTTTGTCACTGCTGGCTTCAGGGTTGGACACAGTGATCGTAGAAGGCCCTTCCAACCTAAACATTTTGATGAATCTGTGATTGTCTCACACTTCCATGCTTTCTCTGGGAAATCCTCACTCCAGACCTTCCCAGCATTGTCTCTGTGTCCATGCACCTGTGCCCATTTTCACTCAGTAGAGTTAAACTTGAAAACACTGATGTGACAGCTCTTCCTGGGATATTAGACCCAACAACATGGATCTCAGTAAAAGCACAACTGAGGGAAAGTCAGAATTAATTAGATCCAAGTAAACCAGAGTTGCAGGTTTACCCAGCTGATACAAAATAAGTTGTGATCCTTTGTCAAAGATCATGAATCTACTAATAATTTGATATGTCTTCAGGTATGCTTATTAAGAGTGACAAGTGACTATTGTGAACAGAATGAATCAGTACATTCAGATTCTTTATGCAGGAAATAGCATTTAGGTTAGTTTTGAAATATACTTTAGTTCATGATACAATTTGATCATTCGCTGAAAACATGGACTTTTAAAGAAGTTGAAATCAAAGTAGAAGGTAAAATGCTTCAGTTGCTTAAATACTAATGGTATAAAGGGATTTCTATAGCAATAGGGCACTGGGCTCCATAAAATAAATTTTTGCCAGGAGCTGAGAAACCCACCTCTGCCATCATCACCACGTGTGGTGGAGCCCAGTGCTCCTGGAGACAGCTGAACTCCTGCCTGCCCACGGGGAGCAGGGAATTAATTCCTCACTTTGCTATTCCTAGAATATAAAAATAGATATGTTGGAATACATCTATATTGATTTTTACATATGTTGTATTCCTATTCAGCCAGAAAATGTAGCAATTGGAACCTCTATTGACATTTACATGTTGAAAATGTTTTTCTTGTCAAAGTTAGCAGCCCAAAGAGCTCGTGGCAGTGCTACATTCACATGGATATCGCAGGGACTACATTCCAACACATTTTGACATTTAAATCAGTTACAGAACCAATGTAGGTGACCCTTTCCCTTCTTAAATACTTTGGGAATAATCCTGAGAGTGTGTCTAATAAAAAGGAGGTTAATCAAAAAAATATTCTCTCCCATTCACCCTGATAAAAATAATAAAATAAATACAGTATAATATTTCATTTCTGACTGTTGATTATTTATGCTGAAAATTCCCTCCTTCACAGATAAGCTTGGTTATTTTTTTGTCAGTGGCTCTTGGAACTTTGGAGTGGAATGGTGGTGAGTAGGCACATTTTACTTTTGGTGTGCAGAAAATCAGGCACTGAAGTGATGAGGGAGGGAGAATGTGTATTTGGCTTGATTAACAACTGGAACATACTGTCTCCACTTTCTTCTTTGTCTCAAGTTTTTAGTGTGACTTTTGTACAGTTTTTTTGTTTGTGCATGCCATACTCCATCCTCAAAAATGGATGGCTTGATTTCTTTCACTCTTTTGCTACTTAAAGTGTGATATCTTGTTATAACATTTGCTGCAATGAAAATCCTTTTTTTATTTTCTGTCACTAGGTAAATCCCAATTACCATTGTCTTATGTGGTGAATATGGCATAAAGTGGTGAATTATGTTCCCTTTCAGACCACAGCACTGCAACTACTTTTCTCTTACTCCATCTTTAGTCCCTCTCCAAAATGCTTTGAAAGGTTTACTTTTGAACCTGGCAGGAAGAGTACTATGAAAAATGAACTATTAGAGCTTCAAATTAGGGACAGCATTAAGCATTCTGAATTCTTTTCTTTCATAGCAGCCCATTAGTAAAGAGTCAATTATTAACTCTGATACTTGATTTATTCCAACATTTTGAATGTATTAGAGGTCAATGTATTTAAGTTTTTTTTTAATTATTATTTCAAGTGGAAATTAGGTTCTCAGAGGTTAAGTAGATTATAATAGATCCCAGCTCCTGGGTCTATGCACTGCTATGTCAGTAGGATTTATTGTAACTCATACCTTCAGAGAATGAGAATTAAGTGTAATTTTCACTTTTAGTTAATGAGATTATGTGCTGTTCAATAGGTATTTTCAGTGTGATTTGATAGTGAATTCTTACTGAGAGATTCATGCTTTGGCTTTATCAGTATGGTTTCTTAATTTGTGATCACTTCTTTTTGTGCCTTTTCAATTTGAAGTCACATTTCCATTTTGATATGCAAATTTATCACCAGATACACTCTTAATGCTTCACTCACAAGGATATTAAGCTGTATAGGCTCAGTGAAAACTCAATGAACAGCTGAATAAAGTCAGGGAGTTTGCATAAAGGCAAGGAGTTTGTAAAATGTGTTTAATTTAATAGTTAAACAGGTGAATTACGTATTGTCCCTAGAAATGTAGAATAAATGTTCAAATGTAGTGATTAGAGCCATGAATTAGCACTGGACTTGACAGTGCTGGGCTGATGGTTGGATTTTGATGATCTTAGAGATCTTTTCCAACCTAAATAATTCCATGACTCTGTGACACTATGATTCTATATGTCCTAAAAGGGAGTGGAATGAGACACCATCACTTGCACAGTTGGGGTAAAATCTCAATATATAAATGATCCTGAGAGTATTGAGAGCATTACACAATTCATCGTTTATGAAATTAAACTTTTGTAACCTTGTAGGAATTTTATTGTCCTGATTTCATTAAGGTGTAATGATGCAGGAAGCTTGAATTAATTCAATTTATTAACTGATTTACTGATTACTCAGAAATTGAACTCACATGTTTATTTATTGAACTATCTGGATTGTCTGGGGTTTTTTTTGTTTTTTTTCCTTAATTTAAGCAAATGAAAACCAAAACAGAATTTACTGTATCCACTGTTAGAACATGACTATTCAGGCAGAAGAAGGGATCAGATTGTTCCTGTTTCTTGTTTGGGCATGAAGTGGAGAGAACACAGCAGCAAAGAAAAATTAGAAATCAGGTAAGGACCCCCTTCAGGATAAGAGTAGCATCTTGCAACCATCCAGGGCACTCCAATTTAAATAATGCATTGTGTTGCAAATGGAAATTCCATCACCTAACTGGGAGCTGCAGGAGAAAAGTCAGGTTGCTGCTTGACAATTTTACAAATTATTTAGATTATTTGTTGCTGGGGAAATTAATGTCAGGCCTGTTTGGTGAATAAAGTGGTTTCTTATGTTATTGGTGGCTTGTGTCAGAGTTGTTAGCTCAAGAAAAGAGCTGGGGTGATGGTGATGCTCTTATTATCAATACTTATTATTTAGTAAGACTGTCACAGTGAGTCGTGCGTAAAAAATACAAGGCAGGGCAGGTTTTTCCTGATAAGACTGGGATGAACTCATTAAATAAATCCTGGCTGAGCCAGAAACTGAAAATAAGAAGGGGAGATGGAAAAAGAGAGGTCAGGCATAGTCAGTAAAATTGTTTATTCAGAGTCTAAGCTGTAAATATGGACAGGTGAAGAAGCTCTACTTGGTCCTGTTGATAAAATCCCAGGTGATAAAGAGGAAAAAGGAAGAAACAGAGATGATAAACCAGGGTAAAAATGCTTCTTTACTGTGTCCTGAATCGGCTGATGTGTTACAACATGATTCCCATATTAGCTATAAACAAAACCAAAAATGTTGGTTAAGTTTACAGGAACAGAAAAGAATTAAAAATACTTCCATTGGAGTCTGATGGAAAAAAGAATTAGAGCCATAAATCATTTGTCTATTGGTGATGTTTTAGCTTTTTTTTATTGCTCTATTTCCTACAGATAATATTCAGGCTGAACTCTTGGATTCATCAGCTGAAAGCTTTTGGGAACCAAGTTTCCCAGAAGCATTGTTTGGAGTAATCATCAGACTCCATTAACAGAACTCTTTCATAATGATTCCTGTGCCCCATATAATTTTGAGTTGATTTTCATGTAGAAATTGTTCTTGAAAAAGACTGTGAAATGAAAATCTTATTGTTATTCTGAAGCAATATCTGAATGATGATAGCTTTATTAAATAGGTTTAATGCAAATTAACTAAAATCAAGTATTCTTGAACTTGTGTGACTGTATAAAGCCATGTATGTGCAATTCTGAAATAACATCACTTGTCATATTCCTTATAAAGATAAAACTTGTGTATAGAAGTGTGACAGGGCATCAGAACTATTATAGTTATTAGAATATATTTTCTATTGTTCTAGGAAAAAAAAACCTCAGTCACTTAGAATATAATAATTACTTGTAACTGCAGAGTGGTCTGAAAATTTTGACTGTTGGGCTCCACTGCCCTCCCAGAGGTGGGAAGATGCTGCCAGAATTCAGGGTGTTTAGAGAAAGCATGTTCAGAAGAGAGGGTTGGCCAGAGCACGTTTGAAGGTGATTGTGAGTTCCTTTTGAAAACGCCCCAGGGAAGCTCGTGAAGGACTTTAAATAATTCACAAAAAAATGCACCCAGAGAGCTTGGAGTCAATAAAGCCTCCAGCTCTTTATAGTTCTTTGTGACTGAGTCCCAGTGGATTAATTCAAGCTCTCAGAGGCAACGACACCACATTTTCAATGTGCTTGGGTGCAAATGTGAGATACCATATGGGACTCAGCCCCGAGAGGGAGGACACAACAAACCCACAGCAGAAAGCTGAAAGAAGAAGTGGGATTGGCTCCTTTAGCATAAATAACACTTTTGCTGCCCTGCATTTCATGGGCCTACATTTCTGATGTGAATAATTCTGAGTAGAAAAATTGGGCTAGAGTAGAAATCTGTGTGGGATGGAAGATAAATTTAGGTGTGTAATGAGGGGCAGTTTGAATTATGAGCCCAGTGTATCAGCTGTTAAAGACATTTTTCTTTGCTGCATAAAATGCAGAAGTTTCAAAATGTTTTCAAGCCAACAGTATTTCTTTCACTTTCTGTGGATGTTATGGGTTTCTTAAAAGGAAAAATTTTGCAAATAATGTGAAAAGCTTTAAATAGAGCACATGACTGGTTTCCCAAACATATATTCAAGGGAAATGAAGCCCATCTTTGACCAAGCAATTATTTTATATTAAAGATATAACACTTCAGCAGATGCAAGAAACATACAAGATAAATCTGTTTACATAATTGAAAACTATTTCTTCTCTTTGGGTTAAAGTAAATATCCGATTTTTTTCATTTTAACAAGTTTGTCCAAATTCACTAAGAAAATATGCAAATTTCTGACTTATTAAAAATCGAATCCGAGGATATGGAGCCTGTTTATCCATGATTTCACCATTTCATCTGTACAGTGTAGCCCAGTTAGAAACACTAGGTGTTTGAACATGGATAAAATGCTTTTTTGCTACCTATGGTTATGTCAGTCATTCAGTGGCCTCCAGATTCTGGGAGGAAAGAACAAACCTCAAGACAGCATCATAAAGTAGGATATGAAAAATGTGACCATTGCTTGTCACTTACTTTTCTGTGTTCTGATAGAGAACTTCTTAAGAGATCATTCTGAAGTGGAGATGGAACTACAAGTGTAGGAGGGTGTGGTTTCCTGAAGAAAAAAAAAAAAAAAAAAAAAAAAAAAAAAAAAAAAAAAAAAAAAAAAAAAAAAAACCCCCCCCACCAAAAAAAAAAAAAAAACAACCAAAAAAACTAGTGATTTGACCTCTGCCCTTTTTGCCTTTTGTCCTGGTCCCCCAAAAGGCAGCATCTTCTAGGAAGAAATTACAGAGAAATTCCATTTTCAAGGAATTCCTGCTATGGAGAAATGATATCCTTTCAAAACCTCTCAGAGCTGTTCCTCTTACAGCTGGGAAGATTTACTGTAGTGTTAGCAAAGAAATAAATGCTCAAACCTAAGATGCCCAGTACAGAACCAGGGTCCTGCAGAACATAGGACTAGATATTCCATGAATAAGAATTTCAATAAGAATTTCACACCGGGCAGAAGTGTGATGATCTGTTCTTTACATTGTGTCTTCTGCTAATCTCTAATATTCAAAATTATATTAAAACTATAGTATGGTGCTCAATAACTTCTGAGAACTTTTAACATTTACTGCTATAACTCTACACAATTTTGTAGTTTTGCTGATGTCCAGTCTTACCAATGCTCAGTCTTTATTTCAGCCTGTTAAACTGGAAGAGATTTCTTTGGCTGTCAATAATGCTCTGGCACTGATGCTCTGTGTGGGTTAGAGCTGAGGGGGGTTTTTCTTCTCCTTCTAGAAAGCCCAAATTTTTTATCCTTACAGTGACTCTTATCCATCACTCACTCCATAAATCCTTTCAACTACTTAATAAGAGTTCCTTCTAATAATAAGATTTTTTTTTCAGCAGCTTTTACTATCCTTGTGTCCTGTTTGCTGGTTCACACTCCCGACAGGGTAGAGAAGGGAAAGTGTGAGAACAAGGAATGTAACTTCATTTAACTTCCCACTGAGCAGTGCCAGGGAGAAGCTGGAAGTGAAAGAGTCACGACTGTGAGAAGCCCCACAATCTCCTTCTTTTCCTATCCTGAAACTTCAGTGTGAGTGCAACATATTGATGGGTCAGGTCCTCAGCTCAGCTGCCAGCAGAGGGTAGGAGAGCTGGGAGATGGCAATGGCATGCTCAGAAGTTGTCGCTGGGACTGAGAGACTCCTCTGTCTGTTTGGCTCCATCCATCCACCCACCTACCCAGCCAGCCACCCATTCCCACTCCTTATGGTGCCAGCAGATGCTGCAGTGAGTCACAGCCTGTTTCCCCCTCTGAAGGAGCAGTTCTGCTAATGAAGGGATGTGAGGAGTGCTCTTGGCACAGAGGTCTTTAGTGGCTGATGGAGGCAAAACCCAGCTCGAAGCAGAACCAAGTGCAGGCATCACTTACAGCATCCACAAGTGGCACTTGCCACAGGGGACAGGATGGGATTTGGTGTAAATCTGGGAGGATATCAGGATTATTCATTCAGTTTTGGGAGTGAAGGCAAACACCATGACTCAGGGACTGGCAGGATTGTGGGACTGAAAACAGGCTACCTTTGGCTCCATCTGTGCTGGACTCTGACACAGCATCTGGCACTGCTCCTCACAGTCTGCAAAGCTTGACTGATCTGGGTAGAAAGATGAAAGTTAAAAATATCCATGCTATCCATGAATTTCCCAGAAAATCTATCCTGAAGAGGTTTTCCTGCAGTATAGAGAGGAGAGGAGTCAGGAGATATCAAAACCAGAGTATTTAAATTGAACCAGATGGATAGTTTTGACCAAGGGATATTAGGTCAAGTATAGAGAGACTAGATTGTATAAATGTGGTAATTTAAATCTCTCCCTAGTCAAGAGACCTGTAAACAAACAAGAGAGAGGAGGCTAAAACAGGCCAGTTGTGTTTGAATTCTCAGGCATGAAATCTATGCTGGAAATCCTTTATGTGTGGGGAAAAAACCCCAAATTGCCTGTCAAGAACAAGCCTCGGTGCATTGCTGCCAACACCATACTCAGAAAGGAAATCTGATGCAGCTGGTGATTGCTAAAAATCAGAATGCAAGGAAAGTTGCTGGGGTCAGTATTAGATGTTCATAAATCACAGACCACTGAGAACTACAGGACTCTAAATACTAATTCATTAAAGTTGTATGTAATGAAATTGCTGGGGAGGAATTTATTGTGAACTCCCTATTCTCAAAAAATAATGACCTGAATTACATCAAAAAATTGTGTCACATGGAGTAATTTTAGCTGAGTAGTTTTAATTTGACATAGTGACAAAACCTATTTAGATTTCAAAACATCAGAAATACAGTGCAGTCCATAGCAAGGGAAAATTTTATATTCTCAGTAAAAATTTAATCCCTAATTTAAAATATAGTAGCTCTGCAACTAACCCATGATTATTGCCTGGTCAGGTTTGTTTTGTGGCGAACAACAAAATGTGGGAATGTCATAAATGAAACCAAAGGAAGTGGGGAACTACAACAGGCATTAGCATTAAAAAAATTATGATACAGGACATTTTAAAAACAGATTTGCCCTTCCCTAAGTCTGATGTTCACAGGAAGGGGAGGACTGCTTGTGTTTGTGAAGAAAATTAAGACAACTGGGGGCAGCAGCTTCTGTCAGATGCAAATGAACTGAAAATGTTGATGGCAAGGGCAGGGTTTTGCTCAGTTTGGGAAGGGGTAGAACCTGTTCAGGCAAAGCTTGAGAAGTGGAAGTGGGAGAACATCTGGCACTGCTCATGTGGGGAGAGTGGATGGTCATTAATGGCAGGCACCTATTGGTACCACCTGGGAGTTTGTGGGCCCCAAGTTGGGCAATTCCCTGGGGGCTCCCCTGGCAGGGGAGACCCTCCTGGAGCAGTTCTGTGTCAGGAACGGGAGACACATTGGACTTTTTTGGTCTTCAGCTTCTGTTTATTGTTACCTTATCAAAACTTCAGCACGCTGTCTGCACCAGACTCTCCGTGTAGGAGAAACAGCACAAAAATGGCTTAAAAGGCTTTTAAGTCTAATCAAAAACTAAGCTTCCCAATTAGGAAGTGACTCCTAAATTATTTTCCTTTCTAACCCAATAACTGACCCCTAATGACCCGCAATGCAGACTTTTCTCCCAATTACAAGATACCACCTAAACCCAAGAAGAAAAGAAAGAGGAAGAAGAAAGAAGGGAACTCAAGACAGCACCCTGTATCCTCCATCTTGAACCCATCTATAACATACTAAAAATCCTAAAACCTACATTTCTCACCCATGTGGCATACTACACTACTATCTACAATCTCTACAATCTGTTTTACACTTTTGTGGTTTCTAGTTTACCTTGAGGCTTTGGAAGTTTTCTCCATGAATGAGGGTCAAAGTCAGTGCTCTCCTGGGGGTCAGGACACTCCAGGGCAGACAGAGAAATATTCCCAGTGCCCTGGGTTTCCACACCACCCTAAAGAGTGTCAGAATGAGAAACTGGCTGCAGGTCTCTCATCCTGTGTCATCTCCAGGCTGCCTGTCCTGCTGAGAAAGGTGATTGAGCTTTCCTGGTCCTCAGGATGGAAAGAAAACTTGCAAATCCCAACAAATTAACAAACCAAGGTAATGTATCATAAGCATTGAGGGAGGTAGCCAAAGGGCCCTCTGGACCATGAGTGTTTGTTAGTAACCAAGTCTAGATTCCAGAGTCTGAAATATTACTAAGTTCTGTATTGAAAAGGGCTAAAATTAATTATATGGGGAAATATACTGCATCAGTCTGTTGTTTTTTTTTCCTAGATAAAGTAGAATAACTAGTAAAATATGGAGGCAGACACCAGCAGCAAAGGACTGGAAGAAAAGACCCATAGGATTAATGTCAGCATAGCTTCAAAGAAGGTTTTTTATAACAAGAGCATGTTTTATTTGACAGAATTTTAGGTCTAGCCACAAAGGTCTGTTTGTGATAGAGAAACTTTGTCTTTATCAAAGCATTTGATGTATGACTGGCTGTCATTTGAATAAAAGAAACTTTCCATACATAGAATGAACAAAGAACATTAGGTGGATTAATAATTTTGTAACAGACAGATCTCAAATTAAGTTCTTAATCAGAAGATGTCATTAAAGAAATTATTCCTCGTGGGTTCCTTTATCCAACAACTTAGATCTCGTCACACCATGAGTACTGCACACAGACTGCTGGGGTATAAACAATGTTGGCATGATCTGAGATGCCTGGAAAAATGGTTAGAGTTCACCAGAATATATTCTGATATATTTTGGATACAGTGATACATTTGGAAATACAGAACTCAGTTTTTCCTGCAGGATAGGGAAGTCTCCTGGAGTGCAGAGAAGATTTAAGATTTGCCTCAAACAGTCTTCTTATTTTTCATTTCAACAGCAGACTGCAACAATTGATTTTTCAACAACAGACTGCAACAGCTCTCCATTTGTGTTTTGTTTTGATTTTGTTTTGGTTTTGTGCTCAG